TAGAGGTGGCCTTCCGGATGCCAGACCTCCTGGGAACGTCACGACGTCGCGAATCAAAAGTGACCTTTTGATTCGAAAATTCCGAAAACTTCTTGGAATGTTGGGAACAAAAATCATGAATCATGACATAACAATACATAACAAAAGTTGATCAACGGTTCATTCAACAAGAAATTATAAATATTGACGTTGGGACCTGTTTCTGTAAGATTAAGTATCAGATTGCGGGCTTCATTTTGAAAGTTGATTGACTATAACATTTGGGTAAAAATATACTAGGATTTCTTGAAAAGAGCTTCAAATCGAAGCCCCGAATACTAAAGATGACCTGAATGTCCCTTCCAAAATAAATGGATACCAATCCAGAGTTTCCCTTGGTGGCACTTCATGTTGGAGAGAAGGGAGCAACTGGAGGATTGAATGATATCCCTTGATAGATCCTAGAAACGAGTATATGTATCATAAAAGGGTTAGAAGCCAGCTAATTACAATGCATTTATGAGCTTGAGAGGTTCATCACTGGGGAGTGGTGAGATGTATCTTGCAGGTCTCCCTTGCGAATGTTGCCAGTCGGGATGTGAATCATGACCCAATGGTCCAATAGATGTTGATCTTGACCGCCACAGCCATTTGGAGTTGATGAACCCCCCACATGTAGCTCAAAGATTACCAAAGTCGGCTGGATTGACCATGCATCCCGAGGATTTGGTACATCTACATCATCCCCGTTCGATGTGCCAACTGATGCGTTCTGGGATGCACTTACTAGGATGAGGAGATAGAGACAAGGTATCAATCGGCATCGGTCCCCATTTTGTTGATCAATCATTCCTTATCTTTGCTGCTTGAACTACCGTGGATGGAAGAAATCCTGCACCAGTTGACCAGTTGGTAGATGATGGTAGGTGGTGTAGCCGGGTATAATCCTGTAAATTTTACTCAGTGTTTCATGACGGAATCCCAATAGTTACCAAACTGGTCCAGGTGTTCTTCCATCCCCATCTTGGGATTAAATATTATTAAATGATTGAGATGTTTCCATTAAACTATCCACATGATTTAATAATCATCTCAATAGTCATCTATTAATCATTTAATGTGTCTATTAATATCTATTAATCATCTATTTCCATCCACAAGATCTTTAAATCATTGAAACATCTCCAGTCCGTCCCCGACTCCAGTCCTTCAGCCGCTCCACATCGCAGCGATGCAGCCCATCAAAGTAGGCTTCCAGCGCGCCGGCCACCTAGCGTGTTTTTTCCCATTTCTTCCATCGCTGGGGACTATTCAAATACCCTCTGGTAAACTAACATAATTAGCTATTGAACATGGCCATAGAAATAGTGGATAAATTCCATTAATAGCATGGTGATGTTCCATAGTGAATCGTTAGTTTACCGGAGGGTAGTACTATTGTAGGGGTTCTTGGGGATGAGCCAACCCATTCTGCCCTCTGGTAAACTAACATAGCTATGGAAAATCACCATTTTCAATGGGAAAATCCACTATAAATCAGCATTTTCAATGGCTATGTTAAATTACCAGAGGGTACTTATTCGAGGTAATTCTTTTTTTGATTCCATTATTTCATCCATTTTTTCATCCCATCCCCGTCATACGGCCGGCGTTCGTAATTGTTCCATCATAAACAGCCCCATTGTATGGTCCCAATGAGGTGGAAGTCCCCTAATACAGTAACACCATGGTCTTTTTGGGTGTTTAATATTAGGGGGACGGGACGAATGATAGGGTTATTGGATGTTATTGGGGGGTATGAACTAACCCATTGTACTGATTCATCTACGGTAGTACTCATTTTTTAAGGGTTCAATTCCAATTCTGGGACTTGATGTCCCTTATCCCATCTCATAGGAGGGAAACTTCCAATACAACTTGAATTGTACCCCTATCCCATTCTACTGGTCCTTGTTGGTTGACAAGTTTCCCTATGGGTTAGTTCATAATCCAACAAACCAGGTGGTTTATAACTCCCTATTTACCAATCAATCAGGGTATGTCAATATGGCTCCGTTGGCTTTGATAGAAAAACGATTACGACGGAGAGCCATATGTATTTTTTCATGAAACAATCACTTTGTGTCTTATGTTTCAAAGAGAACTGTTATTCGTGTAGATGGTTCCTTCTCAGCAATGCATTGATTGACACGGTGACACGCCGCTTGGAGACCGTACACCCCCAATGATTAAGATCTAAACTAAACAAGAAAAATATGAAAAATGAAAAAATGATCAATGAAGGTATCTTCAAGCAAAAATGGGTACAGTAACAACCAACAAAAATTCGGAACGGCCACTAAAAAAACAGAAAAATCAAGATAGAAACTAGCAGCTATGAGGATATCAGGAGGACATAACGAACTGTGATTGGAGTATCATAAGCACCTCAGACATCACAAGACACTTTGTGGGTTTCCTCGACTGGGGCACCCAATCGCATGTCATTGATAATCACTTCACTGGCATTCCTGGTGCCACATGGCCATGTTGATGACGTGGATTTTGCTTCATGACGCTGCATGGCTATCCCTGTTTGTAAGTTGGTGGCTACTTAAGGGGGTGAATACCCACAAATGGCCATTGGAATTGGGGGTATCCTATTTTCAGACAAACCCATATTGGGTTGAAAGTGGTACCCTCTGGTAATTTAACATAGCTATTGAAAATGGCCCAGTCGAAATAGTGGATTTTCCCATTAATAGCATGGTGATTTTCCAGTTCGCTATGTTAGTCCTTACCAGAGGGTAAATGGTTGTAGGAGATATCCCATTACCTCTGGTCCCTCTGGTTGATGGCTATCTTCTGACTCGCTTCATCCATCCCATCATCATTCCGAGGGAGTTCAAAGGACCCAGAATTTGGCCTTGCTTTGCAATATAAACATGGCACACAGATTTACCCTGCCCAAAAAAAAATCGTTGTCTAGTTTTGGAAGTTATGTCAACCTCAGATTAACAAACCCTGACTCTCAATTGGGTGGATTACCCCAAAATATAGTCATACAATGACCCTTAAAAATGCTATCCCTCTACTAACCAACTAGGTGGAGGCTTGTTCATCCTAACATCTTATTGTCGACCCAAGGGTGTAGCCTCTGCAAACTGCTGCGTCTGGCCCGAAGCAAACGTGCCCTTCCGACGCTTGGGCGCCCGGTCACCCGCGGTCGCCATGGTACGGGTCCAAAGGCTGGGGCGCAGCACCAGGCCGCAGGCCAACAGGCCCAGGCGCCAGCGAGGCTTCATGCAACAGCTACGGGAAGAGTAGGTTTTTTTCCCCAAAAATTTAAGGGGTCCCGGTAAATTGCTGCACTTAGTGAGCTTCAACCTCAACAAATCGTGAACATGGCTAAATGGCTGAGAGCTCTTGTTTTCCATGGGTTAGAACATCTGGGCCTTCTATTGCCAGGTTGAACCAGATGTCCTGGGTGGAAGCTCATTGGGTCTGACGTCCATTTCTTTCAGAAAGGACATCTGGTTCCAACTGACGTCCATTGGAAGAATTTATGTTCAATATCTTCCAATTGTGTTGCTGCTATTGAATCATACATATTAGCCTTATTAGCCTAGAAGGTACAGCATGTGTATCCATTGCGTTCTATCATTTGTCGGCTATATCCTGCTGTATGGGTTGCTTACATCTGCTTCTGCTCTCCAAGTGTGTATCAGCGCTCAAAGCCCAAGGCCTGCAGAGCCTTACCTTTGGGATCCAACTAGTGAGCGCCAAGATTCAGGATATGGCTGCGGTTGTTCATGGGGATCAAGATGTGATTGCTAACCACTGGTATGTGATACCAAGATGGCCAAGTGCCATCCTCTTCCATCAATGACTCGTCAGACGAATTAGGCTTTCCCCAACCACTTCCCTCCGCGAGCTATGGGAACACCTTTTTTCACAGAAGGCACTCCCATCTTCTGTGCTTACCCTCACGCCCACCGCCATTAGATGATCGGTAACTTGGACTATTGATCGAGGCCCAAAAAAGTTGTCAGAGATCCAATCTGGGCACCTGATCTTGGCGCCAATATGGGTGTGTCTGAAAATAGTGTACCCCTAAACCCAATGGTTAATGATCATTATCCCTATTAAATGGCTATTTGTTTGGGAATAGAACCGATCCCCCAAAGGCTACTTGAAATGGGCACCGTCTCGCGCGGCCAAAAAACTCCGTCAGATCGCCTTTTTCGCGTCAGCCCGCCTGACAACAACACCCTGATGTCCATTGCGACATTTGCTATATTAGATGCCATGGGCTCGTCAGAAATTGATAGATGTCTTGTATTCCGGCCAAAATCGCCAATCCAGTGGAACCAAACGAAACTTTGGGCAGGTCTACACTGAGTCTACAGCTATAAAGGACAAAAGTTAAGTGTGGAACAAAATTAAAAATGCGGGCCAAGTGCATCCCTACCACCCACCCGCATGCCAAACAGCCTTGGAGCCAAACTTGAAGAGGCTGTTCTTCGCCTGTCGTAGGGAAGGTCATCACGCCCATCCAGGAATTAGTCAGAATGGGTACTTTAGACATAAGCCCCTCCAAATGCAAATTACAACAGTTCACAATTATAATAAATTATAGATCCAAGGACTAAAATGGTAGAATTGCTGTATGACCATTGCCAGGAAAATATCCATCAGTTTTGTCAGTTTACGTGGCACAAATCTGGCAATGGACTCCTAGCGCACAGGATGAGGCCAGGGCTTGGCAGCCGGAACACCTGACGCATCCTGACTCGTTGCCTTTTCACTGCCCCAGCTGTACACAAGGCATGCCTTTTGGATCGCAAGAGAATCTTCTGTACAGACCCTGGACCCAGCGAATAGTGCAGCAAGTGTAGGTCTGCCCCATGTTTCGCCCAATTTAAAACACAAAACTCTGACTCCTTACCCCTAAAAGCCGGCAGCTTTCAAATTTCGCTTGAGACACCCCCACAACTGAAGCAAAGCTTGTTCTCATCGCCGCAAAGCTTGGACCTTTGGTCTCAAAAGCTGAAGATGGTCAAGCCCATCTGGCACGCCACCACCGCCAAGGTCAGGGCTATGACACCACTGTGGATCACCCAAGAACTGAAGGCTGCTGCAGTCAGTGCGGCCAACACCATGGCTGCCTCAGTGGCCAAACAATTTTCCAAACACGAACCTGTTGGGTGCCTCTGCTATAAAGCTCCAACTTTCCTGACACCAGACTGTCTCAATTGCAGGCCGAAATGGTCGCTCTTCCCCAGGACTACACACAATCTGGAGCTAGACCGTATACCCCATGTTCAGGCAAAACCACATTTTGTTTGTTGCAGATCCCTTTAAATATCCCCATTCCAAAGTGAAAGAAATCTCTACCCCAAAAACCTCTGGTCATCGTCATTTTTCCTGTTTGAATTGCCATTTTATGGGGCTCCCCTTTTGAATTGCCGAGGTCACTGCGAAACAGGCAGGATAGCGCCCAGCTCGTTGATAGGAAGCATCTAAGCCCTCCGATGAACCAGCTCCTCACCATGATGTACTGCATGTCGTGGCGTGGAAAATCGTTCTGGGAAATGGACCCTCTGACTGTGACTGCCCAAAAAAAAGTTCTTGTCCTGCGGCGTTTTCCGGAAAAAAAACCGTTGTTGATGATTCTTGCAGGCTAGACCAGCGATGTCCGAACATAGATCAAGCACTTATATAAGCAGAAAAAAACACAAGACTACAAAGTGGGGCCCCCTAGATAGCTAAGTTGGTTCATAACTCCAATAACTATGGTTTATGGTACTTATAACTATAATTACTGGGGCTTATAAACCAACTTATAACTGGGGGGCCCCACATTGTACCCTAACTGACCAGTACAGCCGCACCTCCAAGATGTCCCAAGTGCGGCACCCAGCAGCACACATCGCGGAAGAACCAGCCCATGCCTACGGCAGCAATCAGGCACAGGAAGCACCTAGGGTCAGCGCCAAAGTGAAGAACCAAGCTTCGGCCGCAGGTCGCGCCTTAGCGGTACACAACATCTACGCAGCGGATGGTCAAACAGTGTCAAACTGCTATTTTTAAGTCAAACTTTGAAGGGTTTAGAACAGAAAGGATAATCGATAGAGCTCTTGAGTTTTGCCTGCCAAACGTCCACAGGGGTTGGGCACAAGCAATCTGTAGACATCTGTACACATCTGTAGACATTGTTGTTTTTGCAACAACTGAAGTCAGCATGTTCCACTTCAACCAAAACCATCCAGGAGTGGAAAGCAAAGGCAGTCATCCAGAAACATCGATAGGAGGTCATCCGAGCAACAGCTCTTGGAAGATCGCTGGATATATATATATATATCCTAAAGATTCCTAAAGCTTGGCCAAGTATATATTGTATGTTATTGTATTATATTGTTACGCCATCTTCAATCAAAATCCACTGGTTCGCAGCTACAACGGGACATTCCCCATTGCCTGCAAGGACCATGGTGGGATAGCCCAAAGCGTAGATCAGGAGCTGGTTGAACATCAAAAATGGCGGCAGAAACATGCCTCGCAACGGGGGAAGCCCTACAGTGAATCCTCAGCACAAATGCCAATGAGTCAAGTCACTAGATATGGGGATGGGTCAAAACCCTATCCCCCTGGTGAACATCAAAATAGCTGGTAAATGGATGTTCATCCCCCTAAAAATGGTATGTATAGATATAGATCCATAGCCATATCCCAACGTAGCAAAAAATCCTCGTCTTCAAAAAAAACGAGCCATACCCAAAGAATCCCATCCCCTGAATAATCTTAAGATTAAATATGCCCCAACTGATCCGCTGGTTTAGTCTTGGATCGCTTCATTTTGGGAACCCAGTTGCATAGGCCACTGGTGAAGCCAGAGTCGTTGAAGCGCACAGTGGCGGCTGCGTAGAAGTTGCCCAGCGCAGCAAGGAAGAACCAGAGAGCTCTCCAGCTGCTGTCTGGATCCTAGAAGGTTCCAATTGACAAATCGATGTGGAAATCGATGGTTTCGTGGAAATTTAGAATCTAGTGAGAAAGCTGATGGTTTTGTCCATATCGATTTAAGCCCCGTATTACTGCAGAGTCAATGGGGGTCACAAATTTCTGGGCCAAACCTGAAAGTTTGGAGAGTTGCTGACACTTGGAATGATCCATCTGGAGCCAGTTGGTGATTTCATGTGCTGAACCAACAAGCCTGGGATGATCTGAAATTAGTCAATGGTCACTGGCTGAAAAAAAAACAACAACAACAACAACCATCACTGGGATACGCTTGCAGACTAAACATTTATGGACTTCAGAGATCATAGTACGAACTCTTGAAGATCATTGCCCTGCCGTGCGCCGGTCAGGGTGCAAAAAACTACGAAGATCTGGTTCCTTTTTCAGGACCAACCCATCCTATTTCACTAGAAATCTTTTGGAAACCCTGAAGTTTCTCATGAAATATTCCCCGTGATCCCCATGTGTCAAAAAAAACAGAAAAACCTTCATCTACCCAACGCAGATAAAAAAAAAAACTGGGATTGTCATCCAATCATTGCGGATTCATGGAAACATTGGGTATGTTGTAGGTTTCCTCCTTTCGTGGCAATTGTACTTCCCATGTTCAATACTAAACTCATCTATGGTTGCCATATTTGATTACCAAATAGTATCCTCCAAAAAAAAACACCTTTATTTGCTGGTAAAACCAAAATTGATGCTAGAACCACTGTTGACAATAGTGATGGCAACAATACACTTGAGAGCAACATTGCCATTTAAATTCATGGTCAACTCAGAATTACTAGGTTTAAATCACGTGGAAATCACCATTCGTTTGGTCAGCCCCCATGATTTTCATGGTCCAATCAGTCCAATCCGTCACCCCTCGACCCTTTTGGGCGGACCCAAGGGCTTCCCCAGGCTCCGAGTAGTACAAAGCATAGGGCACCGCGCCCTGCCACAGCAGCACCGATAGGTTGGTCAGGAGCAAAGTATCGTGGTATCCTCGGTGCTTTCGTATGGATGGATGGATGGATGGATGGATGGATGGATGGAATTCATGGATTTCATGCATTTAATATGATTAATTACATTAATGTAGTTAATGTAACTAATGTAATGAATGTAATTAATGTGATTAATGTCATTAATGTAATTAATGTAATTCATGTAATAAATGCAGTTAATCTAATAAATGTAATTGATGTAATTAATATTTTTTATATGATTAATTACATTAATGTAGTTAATGTAACTAATGTAATGAATGTAATTAATGTGATTAATGTCATTAATGTAATTAATGCAATTCATGTAATAAATGCAGTTAATCTAATAAATGTAATTGATGTAATTAATATTTTTATATGCTTAATTACATTAATGTAGTTGATGTAACTAATGTAGTGAATGTAATTCATGTATTCAATGTGTCTAATGTAATTGATGTAGTGACTGCAATTAATGTAATGAATGTAATGAATGTATTTAGTGTAATTTATGTAATGAATGTAATGAATGTGATGAATGTAATTAATGTAATTAATGTGATGAATGTAATTAATGTAATTAATGTAATTAATGTAATTAATGTAATTAATGTAATCAATGTAATCAATGTAATTAATGTTATTAATGTAATTAATGAAAATTAATGTAATTGATGTAATTAATGCAAAGAATGTAACGAATGTAATTAATGTAATCAATGTAATGAATGTAATTAATGTATTTAATGTAATTAATGTAATGGTTGTAATAAATGTATGTAGACACATGAGGAAAATGTATCCGTGAGTAATTCGGAATGCTTCAGTTCCTTTGTCGTTTGTTGGAACGGGAAAGCCCCTCCAACTCGTGCAGCTAAAGCGAAGCTGTCGGCGTGTGGGTGTTTGGGGCTCTTGTGTGGCTTATTCATTGGTGCTATTGCCCCCCTTCTTAGAACGTTTGAGCTTTTTCAGGCATGGTGGACGATTCACTTTGGCCATTACCCCGGAATCCAAATCGGTTCTGATGTACTCAATGAGAGAAGCACAGCGCTTCATTCGCGGGTGAAGGCAACGAACGCTTTGTTCATCCTTTCTGGAAGGCGATGGAGGCGTTGCGTTGAAGGCTTGTTTTGTGTTTTCTTGGAAGCTGAGAAACTCCTTGTTTGGCAGCGTTGGTGTCTCTACACATTCCTGCGACCGCACATCGGATGGGCTTGAGGAAAATGAATGCTTTGCGTCTGTGTGCGCAGGTAAGCACATCAGTACAAATACAATAGATGTGTCTCTGTATGTATATTATATATATATACATATATATAGATATGATATACTATTACTATAGTTATTATTCTTACTGTTATTATTGTTGCTATTGTTCTTACTATTATTACTATTTTTTCATATTTGTTCATTGCTATTGGATGTGTTTTGTTGTCTGAGGCAGAGCTGTGTACCACCAACTGCACCCTCCATGGCTGTCCCAGCCGAAGGCACCAGAAATCAGGTTTTTGCAGCAGAAGCCCATGAATCCTGTGGCGGCGTTCTGAAGACAAGTTGCATGGTATCATTGACAAAATTGGAATGTAACCAGTGGATTGATTTAAGGGAAAATCCACAGGACACCATGATTTTTCCGCCCTAATCTTAGGGTTGTCCTGCAAATTGTACCCTTCAATCAATTCGGGGAGGTATTAACCAACAAGAATGGATGTATAAAACCAACAATAATGGACATTAAATTGTGATTTCCTAGGAATTACGGATATTGATTGTATAACCACAAACATAAGGCATTGGCAAATAATAATAATAATCAATCATTGACTTGGTTTAGTTGGGACAAACTAAACACGAAAACCATTAGTTGATACCCCACCCATTCTTGGACCCCAATTAATGAATAGAACCAGTATATTCCACTAGGCGGTCATTTGGTGGTATGCAAAAAATAGGGGGATGAGATCTATAAGGCTTTGTTCAGGGCTTCTCATCCACCAGCAACCGCGAATAAGGATTTATCAACCATGATTCACTGGGTTGCTTTAAGGGAAGACCTACAGGAAACCAGAGCAACATGATCTCTCCGCTTTGGCCATGGCCAACACTGGGGTTGGTTCCGATTTGGTAACCAAAATAGCTGGCTTGGTAAAGGTGTGTTCACCCCAAGGAAAGTATGGGCCCTCACGTTTCGACAGATCCCTATCTCCTAAATTCTTGGACACCTGCGGAAAAGATCCACTTCTGGATGTCATATGATTTCAACCACAAAATGGGCTATATATAAATGTCTATAACGTGTTGCTGTTAGCGTTCCCAACTCCATGCTCCGCCTAGAGCCACATTTTTGGGCAGCAGCACCAGAGGCTGTACCGGCCGTAGCGACGGCATGTGTGCGGATCGGGGGAACCAGAAATGGCTCCGGGACGAAGCTATGGAAGCTATGGCTGTAATGAAGAAAAGGATATGTTTGGCCATAGCTTCATTCCATAAATCTATGGCCAAACAGATATGTTTCTAAATCATAATAATTAATTCGCCAACCAAAAAGATTGTGGGATACCCTGAGACAGAGCCATTTCGTCCCCCATGGCCCAACCATCCACAAACCTCTGGGTTTTGTGCATGGTATCGACCCATGGCGTTTGCAACTTAGATCACTGTGGATCCGTACTTGTCATTCTTGTACAGCACTAAAATATCTAAAATGTCATTGTTGATGCAGGTCGATGCAAAAAGAACACAGCATTTCCAGCTTTAAGATGACCCTTACGCATACTTTGTTGAAGTTCCATATCAGTTTTCCGCCCTTGGACCTAATCTAGATCCAAGGTTGATAGGTCCTCTGACTGGGGTCACCGTATCTGTGTCTATGTAAGCGGCACAAATCATGGAAGCGAAAATCACAAGTACAGTTGGGTCTGGATCAAAATCTGGCAGTTGCCACAAATTGCCAAGCGATCAGATTCTGCCATGGGTTTGGGTTGAACCATACTCAGCTTTGATGGTTGGATGATGAAAATCCCCATGTCTTGGTGTTTGAAATCCTCAAGTTTTCGGCCCCAAAGGTTCAATCTGCAGTCTGGCTGCTCATCCCCACAATCTTTCGTAGGGCTCATCATCCCGACTTGAATTCCAGATGAACATCCAGGGTGGAGCGTCACCATTCCATTATCATGTTGATTCATGTTGATTCACGTTGATTCACGTTGATTCCATATTGGGTCCTTAAAAAACATCTGATTCGCAAAAGAATTGGCCTGGCTCAGCTCCGTGCGCAGCTGTTGCTGCAAGGCTTTCTCTGCCTGGGAGGAGAACTGGCCCAGATGGCCGAGATTTTCTGATTCTTTGAGGATAGCTCCCAAAAAATAACCCGAACATGCCTGGAACTGACCCAGTTGGAAGTTGTCGTGCCGAAAAATGGGCCGAAAAATGGTCTATCGGTCTATCGGGACTTCTGCCCACTTTTTGCGGTAGACCTGGTTGAACTCACCGAGGGCCTAAACAGTTGGACCAAGAACCCAAACCATGTCACTGACTCAATGGACACAAAACAACCATTGAAATGGCGGTTCCCCATGGAATCCCCCACATCAAAATTGCTGCCTAATGGATGGTCATTGTCGGGGGCCAATACGGCTGGTTGTGGAAGCCTCAAGGGATCACCCTTGAGAAAAGCCAAACAAATGGCTACGTGTCCAGATTCAAGATCGGGGGACCATAGATTTTCTTCTATTTCTACTATTGATCATCCAATGATTGCGGTTTACTCAATTTTTGACCCATACCTACATCAACCTTTAGTTTCATCATTTTTCTGGCATATGTCCATTACCTGTCACATGGCAGCAAGACAGCATGGCCTCTCCACCATTGCCTTCTGACTCGAGCACCTGGCTGGGTGGCCATTGAAGCCGAATGAAAGTGGATCTTCCAAAATCTTGGGTCTTTGTGGTGAAAACCATGGTATTCCGCAAAATACACCCCTAAAATGCAGGCCTGTCAAGCGTGAGAACCACCGTATTGGGTAGTTGGGCATAGAAGTTCAAGGCAATATGACCAATATGTAGATGCAACCATTAAGCGGAATGGTTGGATGAAAAACATTCGAAAAGGCAAACCCCCCACCAGATGAGGAAATGGCAAACTGGATACCCTGGTAGTTCATCAAACATTGCAATGGAAAAAACATATATATTCACATATGATTGTCCCACTTAAATGCCCATTGAGAGGAGATTTCCCGTTGCCATGTTTGATTATTCGAGGTAAAATGCCATACAAACCACTGTTCTGTGCCTCCAGCTGACGACCATATGCCAACAGCAGCAGTTTGTGCAACTCCACATTGCTCCTGTTTGATCACACAGAAATTGCGCCCGGGTCGGATCCTGGTCTGAAAATAGGGTACCAGGTGTACCCCATTCCATCCATGGTCAATCATCATTTTTCCTATTCAATAGCTATTGGTTAATCCATGGTTAATGATGGAATCCATGGTTTTTCCTATTCCATCCATGGTTAATCCATGATTTTCAAACCCAGATGGAAATCGAAAAGAAAAATCTGGTTCTGCCAACCCCTTCCCCCATCGTTTCAGGCGAGCCCCTGGCCCCATCCGGTCGCAGGTCCTACACATCAGCTGATCGTAGGAGGGCCGGCCCTCCACGGGCCGAACCTGCAGCGAAATCATGCTCCGAACAGCTAAACTGGGGTGTAAGTTTGAGCTAGTCTTGGAAGTTTGGGGCATCCCCAGGTTTAGGAAATCTCTATAACACAATTTCATCACAGCACGCAAAGAAGTCGCAAGACTGCCAGCGTGACGTCAATGACTGCTCCTTGCTCGTCGCGGTAGAGGCCCTTGTAGCCATTTGGTAAGGCAAAAGCCTTCCTGTCAGGATCGCCCGAAGAAACGGTTTTTCGTCAAACATGATTGGTTCAAGAATTCCCCCTCGTGGTCTAGTTGGAAAATCATCTACCAAAAGGGAAAAAAAACATGTGCAAGATTCTGCAACTTAACGGATTTGTGAGAAGTCCTCTATGACTGATAACTTAACATAGACCCGGGCAAGCCGGCGGCGGAAGTTTCCCAAACATAAATGACCTATAGTTCCAAGACAACCTGTCCCGACCGTGTCCTTCCCTCGACACTCCACACCTCACACTGCACTCTTCGCACTCCAAACTTCAAACTTCACACTCCACACTTCACACTCCACACTTCTCACTGCTTCCTTCACACTCCAAACCTCACACTTCACACTTCACACTTCACACTTCACACTTCACAGCACAGTCCACACTTCACACTTCACATTCACACTTCTCACTTCTCACTGCTTCCTTCACACTCCAAACTTCACACTTCACAGTCCACACTTCACACTTCTCACTGCTTCCTTCACACTCCAAACTCACACTTCACACTTCACACTTCACACTTCGCACTTCACACTCCACACTTCACAGTCCACACTTCACACTTCCCACTTCACTTCTCACTGCTTCCTTCACACTCCAAACTTCACACTTCTCACTTCGCACTTCACACTCCACACTTCACAGTCCACACTTCACACTTCTCACTTCTCACTGCTTCCTTCCCACTCCAAACTTCACACTCCAAACTTCACACTTCACACTTCTCACTTCGCACTTCACACTCCACACTTCACTCACACTTCACACTTCACAGTCACACTTCACACTTCTCACTGCTTCCTTCACACTCCAAACCTCACACTTCACACTTCACACTTCACACTGCACTCTTCAACACACTTCACAGTCACACTGCGTCACACACACCACATTCACACTTCACAGTCCACACTTCACTCAACACTTCCAGTCCACACTTTCACACTTCACACTTACCTTCACACTCCACATTTCACACTTCTCACTTCTCACTGCTTCCTTCACACTCCAAACTTCACACTTCACACTTCACAGTCCACACTTCACACTCCACACTTCACACTTCTCACTTCACACTTCTCACTTCTCACTGCTTCCTTCCCACTTCTCACTTCACACTTCACACTTCACACTTCACACTTCACACTGCGCTCTTCGCACTCCACACTTAAACTTCCCACTCCAAACTTCACACTTCTCACTTCCCACTGCTTCCTTGACACTGCACACTTCACACTGCACTCTTCACGCCCCACACTTCACACTGCTCTAAACCTAAGTGCAACAAAAAAACACTAGCGCCAAAATGGAGAAAATCTGCTAACAAATACATTTCGCAGCCTTCATGCAGCCAGTCCAAGACGATGTACGAGATCCAGCTGCAAAAGAACGCATGCAGCCAAAGCAAGAAGCAACCTTGACGCAGCCATTACAATGCGATCTGCAGAGATTGAGTTCCAAAGCACAAGAGAACTACGCGCAATGGCATCGGAAATTGTAGCTCCAAAACCGGATCTCGACGCCAGAGCGAAAAAAAAAGACGATTTTGAAGCACTTTTTAAAAGGATTTTTAGAAGGAAAATCACTAGCGCCAAAATGGAGAAAATCTGCGGACAAATCACTGTCGCAGCCTTCATGCAGCCACTCCAATACGATTTACGAAGTCCAGCTGCAAAAGACAATAGTATTACGAATGCAGCCACAGCACGCAGCAACCTTGACGCAGCCATTACAATGCGATCTGCAGAGATTGAGTTCCAAAACACAATAGAACTACGCGCAACGGCGTCGGAAATTGTAGCTCCAAAACCGGATCTCGACGCCAGAGCGAAAAAAAGACGATTTTGAAGCACTTTTTAAAAGGATTTTTAGAAGGAAAATCACTAGCGCCAAAATGGAGAAAATCTGCGGACAAATCACTGTCGCAGCCTTCATGCAGCCACTCCAATACGATTTACGAAGTCCAGCTGCAAAAGACAATAATATTACGAATGCAGCCACAGCACGAAGCAACCTTGACGCAGCCATTACAATGCGATCTGCGGAGACTGAGTTCCAAAACACAATAGAACTACGCGCAACGGCGTCGGAAATTGTAGCTCCAAAACCGGATCTCGACGCCAGAGCGGAAAAAAGACGATTTTGAAGCACTTTTTAAAAGGAAAGAAGGAAAATCACTAGCGCCAAAAACGCATTTCGTGCGAGACTTCCTTCAAAACTCCTTGACGCAGCCATTCCAATGCGATCTGCGGAGACTGAGTTGCAAAACACAAGAGAACTACGCGCAACGGCGTCGGAAATTGTAGCTCCAAAACCGGATGGATCTCGACGCCAGAGCGAAAAAAAGACGATTTTGAAGCACTTTTTAAAAGAATTTTTAGAAGGAAAATCACTAGCGCCAAAATGGAGAAAATCTGCTGACAAATCACTGTCGCAGCCTTCATGCAGCCACTCCAATACGATTTACGAAGTCCAGCTGCAAAAGACAATAGTATTACGCATGCAGCCAAAGCAAGAAGCAACCTTGACGCAGCCATTACAATGCGATCTGCGGAAACTGAGTTGCAAAACACAAGAGAACTACGCGCAATGGCGTCGGAAATTGTAGCTCCAAAACCGGATCTCGACGCCAGAGCGGAAAAAAGACGATTTTGAAGCACTTTTTAAAAGGATTTTTAGAAGGAAAATCACTAGCGCCAAAATGGAGAAAATCTGCTGACAAATCACTGTCGCAGCCTTCATGCAGCCACTCCAATACGATTTACGAGATCCAGCTGCAAAAGACAATAGTATTACCAATGCAGCCACAGCACGAAGCAACCTTGACGCAGCCATTTACACTGCGGGAACGATCCTACAGTTGCAAAGCACAATGGAATTCCATCGGCAACTCATCCACCAGCAACACTTGCAATCCCATTTACATTGCGGGAACGAGCCTAGAGTTGCAAATCACAATGGAATTCCATCGGCAACTCATCCACCAGCACCACTTGCAATCCCATTTACATTGCGGGAACGATCCTACAGTTGCAAATCACAATGGAATTCTGTCGACCACACATGCACGAAAAACAGTTGAAACCCCATTTACAATGCGGAACCGATCCGAGACCAATCCGAGGATGATCCGAGGATGATCCGAGGATGATCCGACCACACACGAGACCGTCTCGCACCCGTCGCACAGCAGAGGTAGATCATCGTCGTTCGGGGACGCACTTTGTATGGAAAAACATAGGCTTTCGTGCATCTGCTATCTCTCAAAAACGCATTTCGTGCGAGACTTCCTCCAAAACTCCATCGGCAACTCCTCCACTTGCACCACTTGCAATCCCATTTACAGTGAGGGAACGATCCTAGAGTTGCAAATCACAATGGAATTCCATCGGCAACTCATCCACCAGCACCACTTGCAACCCCATTTACAATGCGGGAACGATCCTACAGTTGCAAATCACAATGGAATTCTGTCGACCACACATGCACGAAAAACAGTTGAAACCCCATTTACAATGCGGAACCGATCCGAGACCAATCCGAGCATGATCCGACCATGATCCGACCACACACGAGACCGTCTCGCACCCGTCGCACCGCAGAGGTAGATCATCGACGTTCGGGGACGCACTTTGTATGGAAAAACATAGGCTTTCGTGCATCTGCTATCTCTCAAAAACGCATTTCGTGCGAGACTTCCTCCAAAACTCCATCGGCAACTCCTCCACCAGCACCACTTGCAATCCCATTTACAGTGAGGGAACAATTTCTTTGCTAACTCTTTCTGTGACTAACTCTTTTCCTCACTAACTCTTTCTTTGACTAACTCTTTCCCTGACTAACTTCTTTGCTAACTCTTTCCCTGACTAACTGTTTCTTTGACTAACTCTTTCCCTGACTAACTCTTTCTTTGCTAACTCTTTCTGTGACTAACTCTTTCCCTCACTAACTCTTTCTTTGACTAACTCTTTCCCTGACTAACTCTTTCCCTGACTAACTTTTCTTTGCTAACTCTTTCCCTCACTAACTCTTTCCCTCACTAACTCTTTCCCTGACTAACTCTTTCCCTCACTAACTGTTTCTTTGCTAACTCTTTCCCTCACTAACTCTTTCCCTGACTAACTCTTTCTTTGCTAACTCTTTCTTTGACTAACTCTTTCCCTCACTAACTCTTTCTTTGACTAACTCTTTCCCTCACTAACTCTTGGTTTGACTAACTCTTTCCCTGACGAACTCTTTCTTTGACTAACTCTTTCCCTCACTAACTCTTGGTTTGACTAACTCTTTCCCTGACGAACTCTTTCTTTGCTAACTCTTTCTTTGACTAACTCTTTCCCTGACATTCTAAAAGTCCGTAACACGGAAGTTTCTCCCCCTAAACTTCCTTTGATAACCTATATTTGCTTGTCAAATCCCACTTGTCATCATTTTGACCCAGGAATTCAGCGAGCCCCTCTCCTCAAGTTGCCGTCCATCTCTTCGGCAGTCTCAAAGTCACTCACGGGTACCTCCCGGTAGCCTGCGTTCAACTCGGTAGTATGACACATATGTATATGAGTGTAAATGTGCACATGTAAGGATCTGATGGATATATATATATAAACATATATATATATGTACACTCTATATATATATATATGTTTACACTATCTCTATATATATATACATATATTAATTTAATTTTACCTACATGTGCATGTATGTATATACATACATGTGTATGTATATGCATACATGTGTATGTATATGCATACATGTGTATGTATATGCATACATGTGTATGTATATGCATACATGTGTATGTATATGCATACATATGTAGATACATGTATTAAAATGTGTATTTTAAAAAAGAGGTAGGTATGTGCAAATGATTGTAAATGCATATATATATAACGGTGAAAAAAAACACCAGTATGTATGTAGACGGTATAATACCACCAGTATGTATGCAGACAGTACAATACACAATACCAATGTGCATTTAGAATTAAATGTGTATACATTATGTGTATATATATATGTACATGTATGTCACTTTGTGAGTGTGTGAAAATTCTAGGTACACCTCGAACTCGGAAGACCTTTTAGTTTGAAGGTTTTGACTCGAAGAAGTGCATAGCGGCTCAGCGGTATGCTCATGCACCTCAAGCTAGCTGGGTGTAAAATATGTCCCCAGTTGTAGCCCTAAATTGAGCAAGATCATATACTACTCCAGAAAATTAAGAAATCGACATGGACAACATTGGACAACCCAGCATGAATGTGCATGAATTGTAATTAGTTGTAGAAGATTTTCCGGACCCGGGAAACCATGGATATCTTCCAGATCGATTTCTTCTCAGGAAAGCTCCAGCGGTGCAACGTGCCTCGCTCTGCCAGGGCAGCCACATAGTCGAAGTCAGGGGGCGGCCAGTCTGGAAGGACATACCACCAGCGACCTCCGATGCCATGGTTCACTGCCCCAGTGGATCTTAAGCAACCGAAACGAAAAACATCAAGAAACACCTTGGGGCTATCTTTGAAGGTGCCTGGGAAGTTAAGAGTTGGCTTCAACTTGATCAAGGGGAAGCTTACTCGGACCAACTGATACCAGGATTTGAGTCCGGATCATTTAAATGTGTTTGACCAATTTTAACCATTCAATTTTTCCTTTGCAGTGATTTTGAACAATAATACATGTAGCCATACACAGACTTAGCTAAATGGGGGTGTATCAAGACCAGGCTTATGATCCGGCAGACCACATTTGTGAAGGTAGTTTCTTGGGATAAGCAGTACTACTCTCTGTTTGCAAGGGGAAAAATAATCATAGGCTGACCCAATATCTCTATGAACTAACTATTCAGGTTTTTGATGAAATAATGTTCGCACGGTGGATTCCCCAAACAAGTTTGGTGGTTTCATACATTGATAGTTTTTCTTTATTACCTGGAGTATTTGGGGCCTTAAATCACCAGTGTTTTGGGGATGGGTTGAAACCACGAATAATCTGGATTTATCATTGCAAAATAATGAACATAGCCATGATCGGACTTATGTATCCGGTAAAACAAGGTCGGCTTTTTTGATGCTCAAATGGAACACTGTTGGGATGTCTTTGAGAATGTAGAAGAAACTGATTGGCCCATTGTATACTGAGCAAAACTAACATGTCACTACCAGCAGAATTGGGCGCCCCCACAGAGGAGTTTCGCCACCAGGGACTGCTTGGCACTTCGAAGTTCGCGCGGCTTTGGCGCAATCGTTTCACCTCGTGTCAAAAAAGGCGCCGTAGGTACGTATAGTATAGATCGTATAGTTATGTGATGTTATATGATGTTATATGATGTTATATGTTGATCTTGTATGGTCCAGTATGGTATGACAATTATACATGATACTATTAATGTATATTAATGTTGGATTCTGATTAGACTGATTAGGTTCGCTATTGTGGCTCTTAAAAAAAAATGTGCTGAACCCATGAAATGGTTGGAAGCTTCACTATTGTGGCAAGAATTTTTGGCAGACCATTTTTTTGTCAAAAAATGGTTGCGTGAAAAAAAAAACACTTCACGTTTTTTCTGGAAAAATCTTGCTTGTCTGCCTTTCCCAAAAGAATCAGATTGCTTATGCAAGCCTCATTAAAGAACGGCGTTTCCACAAATGTCCGAGACACTGGGCCATCAGAGGGCCCAATTCACTTGACTTTAGTAGGTTTGTTCCCCAGGGTTCACAATTGCAGCAATTTTTTCCAGAGCTGATCCTGGAGCCAAAAGAAGAAAGAAACGTCTTTTACAAAAGCAACGTGTTCTTTCTCTTTTTCTTTTCCTGTTTCTTTCTCTTTCTCTTTATCTTTCTCTTTCTCTTTCTATGTCTCTTTCTCGTTTCCTGTCTCGTTCTCTTCCTCTTCCCCTTCCTCTTCCTCTTTCTCTTTCTCTCGTTCTCTTTATTGTTCTCTTGTCCTTTCTCTGTTTCTTTCTCTTATTACACCTTTATTAAAGAAAAAACGCTTGAGGTGGAAAAGGTAACGCAATCAACATGCTGAACCTCATTCACTATAAGTATTAGAAGTACTACAAGTACTACAGGTACTACAAGTTCTACATGAACTACAAATGTCCCAAGTTCATCGGCAAAACAACTTTAATTAGGCTTCAATTGTCGCCAATTAAAAGCCTTACTGAAATGTGGGATGGTATTTTTTCTGGGAAACAGTTTTTGACACTCAACTTTAAAGAGGGTATCATTCGTTTGAGGGGGGGTACCTGTGGGAGTCTGCTTCCAACCTTGGCTTTGAGAGGGGTCCATCGCCCTTGTCAGGTGGATGAATGCAAGCCCAGTATTTAGCAGTTCACGTTAGGTCGCAGCTTGAGCTTCATAGACCGAGGAAGAAAAGAGGGGGGTACACACTAATCAGGACGGAACATTACTCACAACTATTATGGTGGGTCTGTAGCTATTTATGTTGGAATTTTATGGTGGCGTCTCAAAATGGGTCATACTTTTTGTTGTGGTCATTAGAAAATACGGAAAATTGGGTTTGGAACAGCTAGACGTGAGGATACTCTATTTTGGGACAAACCCGTCTGGCATCATTCTAACGGTGGGCTACAGCAGTGGTGCATGAATCTGTAACAACCACGGAAGAACGAAGGGGTGAGCACACGAAACCCTGACAACCATTTTGGAACCCACACAAATAGGCCAGGAAATGGCAATCTTCGCCCATTCCCAATGGTCTGAGACACCTGCAATCTTGGGTGGCTTCGTTTCACCCCAAATTCAAACTTTAAAGATCCCCGAAATAGAGAGCTTCATTTCCCAAAAAACTTGCGAGATAGGTCCGTTGGGCCACCTGAAGACAGCGCTTGTAGCTCAACAGGTGCCCAGCGCTGGGTACAGCCTGGGCAAGGATACATATTGGCATGTCTGGCCCTTGGATCTTTTGGATTAAACACGAAGTCCCGGAGTACCTTGGACCATTTGGACCTTGGATTCCGAATGAAAAAATACAGCGAGTCGCTAAGACACGTTTCACATCAAAGTTTTGAAGCTTCAGCCAAGACAGGAGCTACAAGAAGTGTCAGGGTGCCCCACCTGCCCATTGGGATGTTGGAACTTCATCAAAATTCATCATCTTGATGTGCAAGGGCTCTAAATGATGTTAAATGGATGCTTGATGTTGCCTGGCTCACTATTTACAGTATGCTGAATGGCTAAATCATTTCCAGCATGTTGTTGTGTTAAGTAGTTCCCAATATATTGAACTAGTATTCAACTAATAACTCCCCATCTGGTTACCAGCTTCAGTCCAAAGAATTGCTCTTGATGTAGTTCTTTCTGAATCATCTCCAGCACTGAAACTATTTTATTTTCGCTACGCACCATATTTTGAAGGTGAAAGGTTAAAGAAATTGTATAAATTTGTGCCATATGTATATATCATATATATACATATGTATATTATATATATATATTAATATACATGGATATATTGTACACATATACGATCATACACATATGCAGAGAGAGAGAGAGAAGGGAAAGATCATAGAAAGAGACAGGCAGAGACAAAGACAAAGACAGAGACCGCGCCAAATTTTGAAAGAGACAGACAGAGAGAGAGAGAGAGACTGAGTGAGTGAGTGAGTGAGTGAGAGAGAGAGAGAGAGACCCGATGTTCTTGCAGTGAAATGCCCATTTCTAGGAGATTACAGTGGCTAGATACCAACCCCAAGCATTTCAGGGTTGACCACCCCCCATCTGTCAACGTTCCAAGGCGCATGACGGCTCTCTGCGCGGCCTTGCAAGACGCCGCAAAGTCCAATCGACCGGTTCCGCCTGTCGCCGCAGCGGTGGCTTCAGGTCCAGGAACGTCTGAGGCACTGAGGATGTTCATCGCACATAGAGAAAAATATATATAACCAACCATATTGAGGATATAGTGGAATAGATATAACACTAAATAATGACAATATGTTTAAGTTCTTAAAAGATCTTAATAGTAATAATAGCAATAATGAATAGTTGCACTTAACATCAATAATAACAATAAGTATAATATAATTATGATATAACTATAATAATTAGAATTATAATAATCATGATACACTAATCATTAGGGTAATGTCATGGGGATATGACAGGAAAATGGTTGAATTCATCGGGAATCAGTAGCCATTCTACTAGGGAAACCATGGGGAAAATGATGATTGGCCACTGGATGACATGGGGTACCCTATTTTCAGGCAAACCTAACAAACAAAAAATGTTATACTATAAAATGAACCACCAACTCGAAAATGTGAAAAAACAGAACATCCGAAATCAAGGTATGGATGCATCCCCCCGCCTCCTCCTCCTCCTCCTCTTCCTCTTTCTCCTCCTTTTCTTCCTTTTCTTCCTCTCCTTCTTCGACCTCAAGCTCCTCCACATCCTCAAAGGGTATCTGAAAGCAACCTTCCTGGTTCACCATAACTGATAGAACTGCTGCTACCTCCAACCACCCTTCTGATGATTAAATCATAACGGGAAGAAACATAAGTTGCAAGGCAACCAACTGGCCCTCTTGGATTCTTGCCAGTCACCGGCCATGATATTTTGAAATGAAAAATGAGCTGTGCATCCATGCAGACCCATGACAGGA